AGACTAAGGATCAAAACCTCACAAGGCAAATATATGTCACTCAAAGCAATCAAGCATATACCGAGGCAATGACCACACGTCCGTCATCACAACTTCCCAATTTCATCAAACATTCATCAACAAGTCCTACTATTCACCAATACCACATGCTCAACAAAACAAAAACCTAAAACTAGACCGGCCCACCATATAAGCATGCAAATATCCGAATAACTCCCCCACACTTAAAATGAGACAATGCCCTCATTGCTTCGACACAAAACAGGAAGTCAAATAATGGACCTAGCAATTTCATATCATGAACCAAAACTAGCAGCTAACACAAGAATGAAAGACTCAGAAAACAAGACAGAAGAAGAAAACAAACTCAAAAAAAAAAGTAAAAAGAGAAAAGGTGTGCAAACCGAAGTAGCATCGAGGGAAATAAGCATTTACGTGCAAGTCGCTCGTCTATGCTCAGCCCAGAACCACGAAACTCTTCATTCAACTCAATTCTCATGCCCGATCTCGCAACTAGTACCTGCCAAGAAAAACACAGAACTCCAAAACTCCCATTATTCAAAGAATAAAACTAAAAAGCATAAAAGAAAATCTCTAGGAGAGCAATAAATCACTTGGGTTGCCTCCCAAGAAGCGCTTGTTTAACGTCATTAGCTTGACGAAACCTGTGAGGAACTCAGCCAGGGTCCAAGAAGAAGTGACGATCGTGCCATGCCTTTGTATTCTCGAGAAGTGGCAGTGCTGGCTCTAAGGCCAGAAGGCGGGCACTGTGGGCACGATTGGCTATGTTCTCGATGTAGTGAGTCTGTTCACGAGAAATTCCCAATGTTTGGAACAGAGCCTTCCCCAACTGAGCTCCCCCGTCAACCTCGACAATCAAAGGTGCATCAATGGAGCAAATCGAAGAAAATATCATCACCTTTGGAAAGTAGTGCAGTGGTCTTAGAGGCGGATGCTCCAACTCGAAGGTGGGAGGAGGGACTTGTGAATCGACCTCCTCCTCTAATGCATCGTACCCGGCTCGTGGGAGAATGTCATCCTCTTCGGCCTCACACATTTGCTGCAGAATTCGAGCCTGAGGGTCAAGCATGAGGTGTGGGTTGCCGACTTGTGCCTCAATCGAATCGAGACGTACAGTGAGGCTCTCTATTTGTGTGCTCAGCCGAGCACACCCGAGCTCAATCTCCTTTTCTTGGTTTGCTCGGGCCATCATCCAATCGAGGATGAGGTCGAGCTTGGCATTGTACTCTGAGGAGTCGTCCTGGAGCTCATTTAGATGCTCGGGCTTGGGATGTGGGTCCACAACCTCGAGCTTGTGGGCCTGGGACTCGATCGAGTCGATGCACCTTGCTAGACTTTCCACTTGCTCGCTCAATCGGGCACATCTGAGCTCCATCTCCTCCTCTTGTTCCGCTCGGGCCATCAATCGATCTAAGATGAGATCGAGTTTGGCATTGTAGGCAGCCTCTTCTTCTCGAGCTGATTTGGACTCTATGAAATCAAGAATCTGGTCGAGCTTCTCGTTAAACTCGTGGGACTCATAAGGTTGCTCGGTCGGAAAATCGTTCCAACACCGCTCGGACGAATACGGGTAAGGTTGGGTGTGGTACCCGGGGAAATAGACCGGCTCGTCGTTCCAAGATGGGTAATGCAGGGAGGAGTACCCGTGAATGAAATTCATTGTACCTGCAAACCAGAACCAAACAACCACGCGTAGCCAAGAAAAAAGGAGAGAAAAGAAGACAAAAACTAAAGCAAGAACAAAAGAGAAAAACACATATGCACAAAAGAAACAAAAACACTAAAAATACTAAAATAAAGAGAAACACAGAAAATAAGATCAAACACCAAAACTAAATATCCTACTTGCCTTCCCCGGCAACGGCGCCAAATTTGTTGTAGCACAAATTGTTATTTTTACCGAGTACCGAATCGAATGATTCGTTCCCCGGGTCGATCTCGCAAGGAAGGCAGTTCGGAATCTAGATTCGATGTTGATCGAACACAAAAGCAAAATAAATCCTAAACACTCTAATCACGATTGGGGATTGAACTGTCAACTAGAAAATAGCAGAAAATGCATAAAACATAAATTAACTCAAAAACTTGAACAAACAACGATAAAGATGCTAGGAAATCGGGAATATTTGTTTCGGTTCGAATTGCAGTTAACGGGCAAGTGATTGTTCGGTTAAATTATTCGAATAACCTACTCGTTCAGAGATTCATCCTCAATAACTTTTCGTAACAAGAGAACAAACGTGAACGGCAAATTAACGATTCGTTTAACACCTAGGCAATACAGTTACGAACAAGCTTAGTTTATACAAGCCTAGATCGATCGGTTCCTCCCCTTTCGGTTCTAAGAGCCGATTAAATTATCCTAGAAGATGGTTAATCAACTAGTCCATTTAGAATTAACAACATCACGCAAGAACGAATCAAATTCAATTGAAAATCAATCGGAGATTGAAGTGTCACCCTTCAACAATTTTTAGCATTCAAGCATAATCATCGAAAACCCTATTTAAGAATAAATCGTATGAATTGAACAATCAACGAACACAATAATCACAAACGAAACCAAAACATCACCCCCTATCCCTAGCAATAGGGTTTAGTCACTCATATTCAATTCAACACCATCAACCACAACAATCAAAGTACTCATATCATGGATTAAATGAATAGAAAACTTACGATTAAAACGGAATTGAGAGTTGAATCTGAAATACAAGATTATCCGAAAGTAATGAAGAAATCCAAGTGAAAAACAAGATCAAGATGGTGTTCTAAAAGTAAGAGAAGGGGAAAAATGGGTTTTTGGGGGATTTCTTTGGTCTGGGAACGAGTCCCAATGCAAAGTCCTCGAAAAAACGAACAAAATCTAGCTTTTAAAATTCTGGTCGCGACCTCCGCGGCCGCGGGAAGCTCCGAGGCCGCGAGATTACAGCTGCAGAAGGGCTCCGCGGCCGCGGGATTCTCTCCTCCGAGGCCGCGGTGAAGAAAACTGGGCAGCTGCGCACTGCTTTACGTTTCGAGCTCGTTTGGGCTCGTCCGAACTCGGAATTGAGTTCCGTTTTTTGCTATGCGTCACCAACGAACCCATCTATCCAGTTATGCTCTCAAAACCAACTTTTCCTGAAGAGAAAATTCCCCCGAAGCTCCTGACCTACACACCAAAAACGACAAAACACAAAAGAAAACCGGAAAAACAAACGAAAAACACCTAAAGACTCAAGATGAAGGAAAACACATAATAAAACACGAAACGGACTAAAAACTAAAGAAACGGCCTAAAATGGGAGAAAAATAAAGATAAAATAAACACGAAAAACGCAACAAAAATGAGACAAACAGTAAACAATAATTAATATTATTAAATTTATTGTTAGTAATCTATACTTATATTAAAAGGTATACCATTTACCAGATTTAGTATAAAGAAAAGTCAACAACATTTACTGCATTACTATTTCCGTATAATACAATCTATACTTATATAAAAGGAGATTCTATTTACTACATTTACTATCCAGAAAAGTCAACTGCATTAAATGCCATTACTATTTTGGTATTATAATATTTTATTTATTTAATTGATTTATTTATTTGTTTTATTTTAAAAAGGTAAGTATAATAAAAAGATTTTAATAATAAAAAAATCAAATACCAAATAAAAATGTACACTTTGACTTATTTGATTATATTTGGTATTTGATTATACCAAATATATCCTATTTAGTATATACATTAAATACTTACTAAAGTATTTATTTGTTTTATTTGTCAAAGTTAAGTATAGATTTGTTTATATTATCAAATCATAAAAAAATATTAAATCCATATTGTAAAAAAAAAATCATATAATTTTATAACAATTCTACTACACTATTTAACAATATTTTTATTATTATATAATAAAATAATCATTAAATATTATATGGTGAACAACAATAAGTAAAACTGTTACTTTCTCTTATATCAAGGGATAAATGTATATGCTAAAATTAAATTTTTATTAGTATAAATGTTTTAGTGAAATAATATATTAATTATTTTACAAGCTAGCCCTAACATGCTCATATTTAATGTTTTAAAAGATGTAGAAAAAAAACTTATAATAACTCTATTGTTTTTTAGACTTAAACGTTGATTAAAAGAGGTAAAAATTCCTAATTTTTTAGACTTAAACGTTGATTAACACCATAGATTGAGAGTTTATATTTAGTAAAATTCCTAATTGTAATAAAAAAAAAAAAATTGTTATATTTTAGAATATCTTTAAATTCATTATAAAAAAAAATAAAAAACTACAATGAAAAAAGCAAGTCAACTATATATCGATTTGTTGTACTCCTCCAATCACATTCACAATTTGGCTACAAGGAAAAGAAACTCATTGATTAAAATATTATTTTGTCAGTAGCTTAATGTACAAGAGACTTTAAGACTCCACTTGAATATTATAAAACTTTTATTGAACATTGTACGATTTTCTTGCGTATTATAAACTTTTATTGAATATTGCATCTTATAATATAATATTCTCGAAATGAATATATCTCGTGCTTCGCACGGGTCACGTACTATATATATCCCGTACATTTTTCTTTATTCTTGTATATAATTATAAGCCTGGATAAATAGCCTTAAAAAATTGTGCACCCCGTGCGTCGCACGGGCTCTGTACTAGTTAAATATAGAGAGAGATATATAAATGATAAAATTTATAACAGTTGTTGGAGGGAAATCAAAATGAAGTTTTATCAAATGCTATTAGACAACAATTGTACATATATATAGATACCATCCATTTTTATTTTTATGTTTATTTTTTTCACTAAACAATAAAAAAAATAACACAGAAACAAGCCCAAGAACCGGAGTTTTCACTGGTTGATGATTAGCCCGAAAAACACTCATTTCCTATAATAAGAAGTTGGACCAAATTTCCCGTTTGTTCCTTGAATATGTTTATTTTTTTTCTGTAATTACAGAATTAAAGAATAAAAAAAAGACGGGCAAGCAGGAGGTGATGGGTAAGTTGGCTGAGATTTTGGATTCATTCCTTAGGATGGCTTCAAGATTTCACTCACACTGCCCGCAAACTGCCCGGATGTATTATCATCCTCCGCCCGTCCAAGATCACAGCGCCAAAATGCCCGCTTCTACTTGCCCCATTAATGATACTACCGATTTCATTCTTTACACTCTTGTTTCTTAACAGATTTGTAGAATCATTAATTACTCAGTCTTCTCTCTCTGTCTCTCTCTTTTTAAGCCTGTATGTAATTCGTATTTGATTGAAGGAGATGTGATCTACTATAATTAATATCAACATATTTTTCTTTTATTAAAAATACTTCTTTTTTTTTTTTTGGTTCCTAATAGATTGATGATTGGTTTATTATGAAAGAACAAAAGGTATATCTGAAAAATAAAGGACTAGGCTCATCCAAACCATTGTTTGGAGGGTCAAATCACGACGGCTGGGAATAAGATAGTTGTGTCAAGTTTCCAAATGATGCCCAAAGCAATTGATTTTAAATAAACTTGGAACATAGTTAGTGCTGAAAAGAGAGCATGTTTTTATACCTAGCAACTTCGTGATTAACTCAAATGGTATTAATGTTTGATTGAAATTTGATATTTATCAAATTCGGGTTTAAAGTGAGTTTTTAGCTGGTTGGTTAATAATCTATCCGGACCACTAATTCATTATAAGTATATATATGAGTTGAACAAAATATGATTTCCTTTAATGACTCCATTCTCTTGAGGAAGCAACCACACAATGACACAATAATGACCTCATTCTCTTCTATAATTAGCTACACAAAATTAATAATCAACGATTGATCACAAAATCTTTGAGTAGTCTACAGAGTTATTTAACAACAAAATCTTTGAGTAGTCTAATAAAAGAGTTATTAACAGAGATCTTCAAGTATGTCATATTAATGCAAGATTTGTTGGAAAAAATAGTCGATACTACAAATCATTTTTTAAAAGCAATTTGTAACTTCAAAGAATCTCTATAAAATATAGGTATAAATTATTATTTACCATCGTGTAGTACTCTACTAGTGTATTTTTAGAAAAAGAATGATAATCCTTTTCAGATATTAGGAATTGTGAGACGCTTTTAGCGTACACAACAAGGAAACAGTGTCCAAAATGTTTGGGTACTGGAAAATAGCAAAAGCAAAGTCTCTGGAGAAATTCAAACAGCCCTATCAAATCCAGAAACAAATCACTTATAAGTTCTTACAAACCAACACCGCCTAGCTTTTTTCGAACAAAAGACAAGGTTCAAACGAGCTCTTTTGCTGCTAAGATAATTTACACGCAATGCGGTTAAAATAAATCACACATTACTCAGTCTTGGCAAGGGGCTTCCGGGCTAAGAAGAAATACATTGACGTGAAAATCTCTTTCCTAAAATAGAAGGTAACACTGTTAGTGCCAGGCATCACATGGAAAATAAACAGTAAGAAAAATAATAATAATATTTTAACTAGATATTCCAAGCATAATGTGAAGCCTTCTCATAGTGCATAATTGGATACAAAATATTATAACTAGATAATATTTTAACAAATTCAACTCAACTTTCATCAATATTATCAATATAATTAAATGAAATCAATCAATCATCCTCAGATGTTACATCAATATTAATTCAATATTCATCCACTCACATAACTTTACCTACTCATCACTCCCTATCACATCTCTCCAACTTTTACATCACATTTACTTTAATCGTTATATTTTAAATATTATTCAAATACAAACTACAAATTTCACTCAAACCAAACTTAATCAACTTTTTTTTCAAAATTAAGTCACTTTATCCAATAAATCCAATCAAATCCAACAAGAAAGCATAGTGAAAAAAACTATAAAAAGGAGAAAGAAGCCAAAAAATAAAATAAAACTTACTTGGCCCCAAAAACAAGCCCTTCTGCAGCTTTCTCTAAGAAAGCTTGAACTCTTTGACTTCCTTTAGGCGCAACTCCCAGTGTTTCTAGAACCATCACCTACAAAGCAACACACGGATATATGTCCAACAAAACCCGAAAAATAAAAAGCACGCAAAAATAAATAAATAACATATGTGCATAGAGTTTAATGTAAATCATTTACCACGTTTCTGGTAAAAAAGCGTCCAAGTGCCGTCAAACGGAAACTACTGATTGAGAAGTGACTTGTGTCCATAGGCAGATACCAAGGGACAGGTGAGTCCTTTGCAAGATCTTTTTCCCACACCACCTTTTTACCATGACGAAAAATCAATTATCTTAGTTTTATTTATGATTATCTTAGGAAATGTGCTTGGAAATAATGCTGTCGAGAATTTCCAACTCACTTCAAAACCAGCTTTTTTAACAGCATCAAGACACTGGTGAGTCAGCCTAATATCAGGGAGCCCGTTACCGAGTTCAATGTCAGCCTGCCAAAGGGAATCTTGTATGTCAAGCCAAATAATCGTGTAATAAGGCAAAATTCGAAGGGTACTTGTGTAATTATGGTGATCACCTTTATCTGCTGGTGTTCTTTGTTATTAGGGTCATATGCGTCAGTCATGCACCACTCGTACGCAGCAAAACACTGCCCCGGTTTTAGAACCCTATATATTTCCTTGTAGCATCCGACCTGTAGCAACAGAAAAGATAGACAATTAAATTAAACATTATTAATTGATTATAGATAAATAAATAAATAAATCTTAAAATTAAGTCAACAATGAATGTGTAGATTTATATACTGGATCCGGGGCATGGCAGGTGGCTTCAATTGCATACACTGCATCGAAGTTATTGTCAGGGAATGGCATCTTCATGAAATCAGCCTGAATAGTTATGATTGTTAAAAACCTGGGAAGAGTGAAAAATCGGAAGGGATAAAATTGAAATTCCAACTTTACTAACCTTAACAAAGTCACAAGTATGGTTCACTCCAGCAATACGATTTAGCACCTGCACCATCCAGATTTTGATCATTTATTTATAGTGAAACAAAAAAAAAAAAAGGAAGGAGAAAACACTAAAATCGAGATAATTGATTGGTCATGACAACATGAGACATGAACGAATATGAAACTGGAGCTAGTCTGATAGCAGAAAATTAGGGTTACAAATTGATATTTTTCATTTTTGAACTACTTAGAAACAAACATATATATACCTTTCCCCTAGATATCTGGTACTCATTGTTGTTGAGACCTGTGACTGATGTTTTACTGCAAGAGGTGAATCAAAAATAAGAGTTTGAGGCAGCAATTTAAAAGACAAAATGCATTGGCATTGATATAAGAATACTATAGTAATAACTGATGATCAATCAAAAAAATGTTTATATCATCTTTCTTAAATTTAGCTGAATCGCATATTGCCATTTGACTAAAATATTAGCTAAGAATGAAAAATATGCCAAGAAAGACCGTGCACCAGAAAGAAGGAAAAAAAAAAATTGCTGCCAGAATTAGAAGTGGCCATGATAAAACTAGAAACTAAACGAACTAGATTCTCACAACACCTGAACCGTGCAATTTCTCTTAATGGTCCGCCAATACCACATCCGACATCCAAGACCTACGACATGGATTAAAGTTTATCATAGATTCAAAACGTTNAAAAAATCCAAGGAAAAACTGGGAAGACTATGATACCTTTTGTCCTGGTTTTAGACCAAGCTGTAAGGCCAAGAAGTGCTCGTGCCGCTTAATGCTCTCCTGAAGAGACTCGCCTTTCCACCTTTAACACGATATTACAATAGTCACACTTAGTTATGCTGACAAGCTTCAAAATAAAGTATCTAGAAGACTGTATGAACTATGAAAAATATAATAACTAAAATGCCAATCTGACTTTTGCAAAATTTTTCCTCGTAGGTGAGAGGAAGAACTATGAAGTTGCATGCTATATTCATGACCAATTCTTACATGGCTGCTTATGCAAGGACAAATATAACAAATTTGAAAAATTAGCACTTTGATAACTTCAAATAATGAAAAAGAAAATCACTACAGGTGATTCAGTATTAACTGATTGCAAAATATGACAGATAACAAAACAAAATCTAGAAGAAGTATATCATTTACCTGGGTGCAAAATGGAATGATTCTCCCCATCCATACTCATAGAAACTTGTGACCAGATCATAGTACTTATTGACCTGTTACAGTTTTCATTACATTTCAAAAATAACAGTTCTCAAACTTTTCATGCATGTGAGGATCTGATAAGGCACAAATGACTCTTTTCAGCAGAAGATTGGAAAAAACTTCAGGGAAGTTCCCATGTTACCTTAAAGATATTGCTGCTATTACAACTTTTTCTTTCTACTTTATAACCCACTCCAGGAACAAGAATTCATATAAAACAGAGCATATCAGTCACTAGCCAATACCAAATTAATTTGACCATTACATCACATATCGCATTGCAAGATCAACGATTTAAACCATTTTTGGGGTATTTTTGTTCATGTTTCATGCACTGAATTAACACCAAAAGGCAAAAAGAAGTGCTTTTCCCTAGCAAACATAGGCAAAATCAGAGGTAAAGACATAAAAAGGGTGGTCTTCATTATAATATATGCCAAAACTTCGAAGTTATACAAACAATGATCCCTTGAGATTTTTCAAACTTTGAAATTGAATGCAATTGATAATTCTGTAATCCAGGTTACAAAAGACCACTCAAAGTGAAAACTCGGCAAGACAAGCAAAGGTATCTCACCATGTCGGTGTAGTTAGCTTTTCTCTCTTCCTCTTCACCCCCAAAGCAAACATGATACTTCTCGTACCTAATTTACAGAACAAGATTGACAAGCTTAGTATAGGATCACACACTACACCATGCAAAAGAGAACAAAAATGCAGTAGATAGAAGAAGTTTCCAGAACAGAATGATTCTTAAGAACCAGTTAACAGTTGAACCTTAATACTTGTTATTGCATGTTCCAAATTCTTGAGCTGAGCAAGAATATCATGATGCCAAGATAAAAGGTGAAAAATCAAGCGTAGGCCATCATTTTAATTTTCACTGACGAAAAATTAACTTCCTTTATAACCCCGATTTAGGCCAAATATTAACAGGAAAAATATAGCCAAATTCCATCCCATATCATAAACTGACTTTATTGCTTGAACATAAAAAATAGACATTTATGGGTAGTATTGACTTCCAATAGGCACTTGCTTTCCCAACTAGTTATCCAACCCAAGTTTTAAAGAAAAAGTAAAAATTAAAAGAGAGAGAGAGAGAGAGAGAGAGAGAAAATATTACTATCAAACCCAACGCAAGGCATGTGAAAGTTCATTTATAGGCATGTAGGGCTCACCCAACACAAATTACCTATAAATATAAATAAAAACTATACCACATCACATAATTACTCTTCAAATTCCAGACAAATTGGTCAACACTGCTGTATATTCTAATTGGTCTACAACTAACATTGATGTTAATTTATTTCTCCATATGTCCACAAACTATATGCTGATGAGTGATGACAGGTCCTAGACTATTATGAGAAAAAGAGATAAGTTTTCACATAATATATTAGTGTGAGGTGATAAGCCAGCATTTATGAGCTCTAACTTGAGTTCACCACCTGAGAGTGGAACCCAGCAAGCCAACAGTAGTGTTAATTTGGAGTTAATTTAAAAACGGGTAAAAAAAAATTTGGAATTCAAAACCATTTATGATTAACAGAATCTCAATTCGACCACACATAGCTACAAAAGATGATAAACAAACATAAGTGTTTAAGAAGAAGAATACTTATCAACGGCGGAGAGAACAAGGTCCTTGTCAATCTTTCCACCAACCCCAGATGCCAGATCCAATGTCCCCGCCTTAGACATCCTCCTTCTACTTTTTTTTTTTCTCTTCTCACAATTCTTTAGCCTCTCGAAATAAATCCTCCGAGATCTGAAAAGAAAAAGGTAATCGAATGTGGGCAACTTACATAGATACATACAAATTATAACGTGGTAAAAAAAAAGAGAGGTTTGACAATGCAGGAAAGTTGATCGCACCAAAAGAGCCTGCAGGGATCTGAAGACCCTTTCGAGAGGCCTGGCGATTGCGAAGAAAATAAAGCCGACGAGAGAAAAAATACAGAATAAAAAGAAAAAAGTGAAGAGGTTTTAGTAANTTTTGATTTTTTTTTATTCTATTATTGCTCTTGAATTTGGACGCATGTTGCTTTCTTTTTTTATTTTTTATTTTTTTAATTCAATTATTGGTAGTCATGGGACACATGTCTTTTTTTAATTGGAAGTCATAATTTTATTGTGATAAGATAAGATAACTTAATAATTGAGTTTATTTATATATTAAAAAAAAAATATATCAAAATTCGTATTTTTTCATTCTCTATAAATAGAGACCACTCTTGATATGTTTTAGATCACAACTGAAATTTCTCTCTTTTCAGTTGACTATAAATAAATTTTTGTTTTTTTTATGCTCTAAACCATATATGGTCTAGTGTGTAAATTTGTACTAATTCATATATGCTCTAAACCATATATGGTCTAGTGTGTAAATTTGTACTAATTCATATATGTATATTTGTACTTATTCACATCAAATTGGTATATATGTATATTTAATTTTATATAAAATGTTAATTACTCAAATAATAAAAATATATCTTATTTATTTTTATTTCGAATAATTTGCTATATATATGAATATGTAATATTATATAAATGTTTATTACCCAAATAGTAAATAAAAAAAAAAATTATGGTTTACACACTAGACCATATATGGTTTAGACCATATATGAATTAGTGTAAATTTACACACTAGACCGTATATGAATTAGTGCAAATTTACACACTAGACCATATATGGTTTAGAGCATAAAAAAACAAAAAATTATTTATAGTCATATTATTTGTCAAACTATTTATCACATATTAATATATTACACATTTTGCTCTATCATAAATAATTTTTCAGTATTTTTAAATTATGGTATTTTTATAAGTTGTATTTTAAATTTGATAAAATATATTTTTATATAATTTAATTTATTTTAAAATATTAATTTTTTGAAATCAATATTTTTAATTATAAATTTTTTCATTAATTTATCACAACTAAAAAAATAACAAAAAATCTATTGTAGATAATATTTAATAAATAAAAATAAAATAAATAGTATGTTGGGTTGGAATGGGTTGGGTTAGGGATAAAGATATGTAGGTTGTTAAAAGTTGGGTTATGTAGGTAGAGGAGAGAGAAATAATTTTTTATTATTGGGTTGGGTTGGGTTGGGTTGGGGATAAAGATAGTCCAACTCCAACACCAGACTTCTATATTTTACGACTCCAGGAGTACAAGACATTAATTAATATTTTTAAATTAAAAATACTTATTAAATAATATTTATAAATTAAGAATATATAATTAGTATGTGATACAGTTTATGGGTATTAATTTAATAAAAACAATATGAAATTTAAATTATGGAGAATTACATTATGTTTATTTAAAATTAGTACACAACTCGTAATGTGCACGTTGAGTTGTAAACGAACCGAACGTTCGCGAACAAAAACTCGTTCGAGCTCGTTCGTTTGTAATCGAGCCGAGTTCGAATAGAAAATTAGGCTCGTTTAATAATCGAACAAACACGAGCTCGTACGTGAACGTTCGATTATGTTCGCGAACATTAATTTAATATAAGTTTATTTTATTTTGTAAATATTTACATAATATTTTCAATAAAAAATCTAAAATTTAATATAATTTTATTTAATTTTTTATATCTACGTAATATTATTTAATAAAAAATATAGAATATATTAATATTTTTATTTTATTCTTTTATTTTCGAGTTCGAACGAACAAATTTCGAGTTAACCAAAAATATTTAAAAAGTTTATGTATTATATTATTCGAACACGAACGAACTCGAACTCGAACACGATTTTTTGCTCGAAAAATAAACGAACGAACACGAACACTGTTCGAACATAAATGAACACGAGCTCGAACAGCCCAGACTCAGTTCGGTTTGGTTCGTTTACATCATTATGTGCACATAACTGATAATAAATTACATTATATTCATTTCAAAATATTTTTATTCAGACATTCGATTTAACTACAATGTGATTTTATAAAATAATTATTTGAAATTTTTTTTATCATATATTTAAAAATCTATAAGTATAAATATAAAGGAACCGGCTGAGTTATTGATAAATTAAAGGATTATAAACTAATCATCTTGATTAAATAATTTGTTAAAGATACAATAAAAAAAATATTTTTGTATAAAATTGGTTGCCAAATGAATAAGAAATCATCGTGATTTGTTATTAATATTGATCAAAAAGATTATATTGTAATGTTGCGATAAATATTATGACAAAATTTTCATAACCGTTTTTATTTTTTTTACTTTGTAATTATATTTGCAAGTTATCGTGCATATTCATATAATATTTTCTCAGAAAACCTATTTAATATATTTTTTAAAGACATTTTGTATGGTTGGTTACCAAAAGAATAAATAATTCAAATATTCGTAATTACTATGAAGAATCGGATTTTTATTGTGATAATAAAATAATTTTCAAATGGATTTTGTCACTTTATTTATATAGAAAGTCGTGCTATTAACCGAATTGCACAATTTACAACAGTTCCGTATAACTTGATTTTCATTTTTTTAAAGTAATTTTTACAATATTTCTTCTAATAGTAAGTCAACTTATTTAATTACAATGCCAAAGTTACTTTAGATTATTCCATCAACCTCTTTCGATATATATAGATGAAATTAATTAATTCTACATTGCTAATTATTTTTTGTTTAATAAATTACTCAACTACTTAATTTTTTATTTGATTAGTTTATACAAAAATAAATTTATTTTAATTAATGAATCAATTTAAGCTATATTTATACTTGTAGATTTTTAAATATATGATAAATTTTTTACCAAAATAATTATTTTATGAATCAAATTATAGTCAAATCAAATTTTTAAATAAAATTAAAAAATGACACTTATTTTAAAATAAATGTAATGTAATTTATTATCAGTTACGTGCACCGCACGAGTTGTGTATTAAATTTAAATAGACATCTTTATGTAATTTTGCACAATAAAAATTTCATATAACATCTTTTAATAAATTAATATAAGCAAATTGTATTTAGGGGTGTGCAAATTTTGACTAAAATCGACCGAACCGACGAATTCGGTTCGGTTTTTGTTCGACTCGGTCGGTAGTCGGTTTTTAATTTGTAAATTTTCGGTTTTTTCGGTCGGTATCGGTTTTGGACATAAAATGTCCAAAATAACAGAACCGATCGAATAATATGTATATATAATATATATATATATATAATATAATATTATTACAAATATAAATTAAGTCAATAACCCTAAACTAGTACGTAACCCGTGCGATGCACGGGATGTAAAATTTGGAAGAATAATATAATCTCTCGTGCATTAGGATCGAAATTGAAATCATTAAAATACATAGGAACATTGTTGAATCATAAAAAGTTCGGTAGCAATCATAAATTATTAAAAACCTCCTTGTACACAACATTATGAATTTGATTATTTGGTAACTCCTCATTATCACAAACTAATATTTTCAACCCCCTTCTATTATTTACACGCGAAGCAGCAACATATAATTGGTCGTGACTAAAAACGGGTTTCTTCAGGAAAAGACCAACGTGCCATAAAAAAAGAGTTTTTAAAAATTGAAAAGTCAAGGCAATCAGTTCAGATTAATTAAAGGTCAAAGAATATCCGCTTCTTGATATAAAGACGTGTGCTATCATTAACCAAATATCCGGTTATTGATATAGAGTGATTACCAAAAAATAGAACGCCTTAAGAACGCTTCATGGAAATATCAATGGGATAAGGTCATAACAGTTCACTATACATTTTAACGATAAAAGCTCATATGGAATTATTTAATTAGATGTGTGAAAGGACATAATTAATAATTAATGAGAAGTGTGAAAAGGACAAAAACTTACTGATTTTGAAAAATATTAAATGCAAATCCAACATTGACTATAATTTGACCTACTATTATGGATAAATGTTAATTCTTATTATATAAATATAAATCCCTAATCTTAACTTGTACACTCCTCCTCTTCGCATTTCAGAAAAGGCCAGGGATATCATATCCCTTCCCTAAATCCTCCTCGCCGTCCCCAAATCCTCCGCCCCTACACGGCTACTCCTCCGTCGGTGCTCCTCCTCCATCGCAGATCCTCCTCCGTCGCTGCTCCTCCTACGTCCAGTCAAAGAGCTCGTGGTCACCGGTCGTCGACTCGTGCCAGTCCTCCGTCGCTTGCTGCTCCTCCGTCGCTTGCTGCTCCTCCGTCAGTCGCTGCTCCTCCGTCCGGTCAAGGAGCTCGTGGTCACCGGTCGTCGAATTAATGCGACCCTAAGTATTTTTTTTTGTTTTATTTTCTAAAGTCACACTTCTTCTTCAAATTAATTTCTGCAGTGATAGACACACTCTTTTTCTTCATGTCCAGCTTTATATCTAAGTTGTCTGCTTCATCATCTTCTTTAACTTTTAGGGGAGAACTGAAATGCATCGATTTAACAATATTTGGATTTACCAAAACAAAAACCCAACTTGTAACAGTTTGCCTGTAGAAACTGGAAATCAAAATATACGAGCTAAACTAAAACGAAATCAATCTTTTGAAACACCATTTTTTCATTAGCCAACAGCTTACAAAACCAGATCTCACAAAAAAGAAGAAGACGATCGCAGCGAGTACATAATATTCCCTCAGCTCAGACTCACCCTATCAAGATGCAACACGTGGAAAATAAGAAAATAAAGGGAAAACATAAAAACAGATAAGAGGCGTAAACACGAGTCAATTAAGTGACTCACGCCTTTTACAAGTAGTAAACACCCCAATGCATGAACATGTCAACCCCAATGCATAACCATGTCAACACCCCCCCCTCAAGTGGGAAGGTGAGGGTTAACACACATTCCCAACTTGCAAACACAACGCTGAAAATCACCACGGCCCAGAGATTTAGTGAACATATCCGCGGGCTGGAGAGAAGATAAAATGTGACGAGGAAAGAGAAAACCATCTTTGTAAAGATTGCGCACCACATGGCAATCAATATCAAGGTGTTTGGTACGCTCATGAAATACCGGGTTTGCTGCAATATGGAGAGCTGCTTTGTTGTCACACCATAGAGAAATGGGAGAGGATAAGGAAAGAGAAAGATCTGCACCCAGAAACGTAAGCCATTGAAGCTCACAAGCCGTGCTGGCCATGGATCTATATTCGGCCTCGGCTGAGGATCGAGAAACGGTTTTCTGCTTTTTAGTCTTCCATGACACCAAAGCTTGTCCAAGGAAAATACAATATCCAGTGAGTGACTTCCTGGTCAGAGCACAACTACCCCAGTCGGCATCACAAAAGGCCTCGAGCTGTAGTGAAGGAGTTGTTGCATAATAAAGGCCGAAAGTAGGAGTGCCCTTCAAATATCTAACCAAATGAACAGCAACAGTCCAATGTGCCTGTGAAGGGTTTTGAACAAATTGGCTAAGTTGCTGGACACCATAAGAGATATCTGCTCTTGAAAGATTCAGATACAATAATCTCCCAATGAGTCTCCTGTAGAGGGAAGAATCTGAAAAGGTTGGTGACTCCTGTGATGACAGGTTTATTCCCGGGGGCAATGGAGTCATAGTTGGTTTACAATCTTCCAAACCAAGATCACGAACTATGTCCAGTATGTACTTTCTCTGGGTGAGATAAGTTCCCTTCCCAGTACTGCAAATTTCCAAACCCAAGAAGTATTTTGCCTTCCCTAAATCCTTGATAGTAAAAAGATTATGAAGGTATTTCTTGAGGTCCGCAATAGCACTCAGTGAATCTCCAGCAACAAGGACATCATCAACATAAATCAGTAATGCGAGAGTGGAAGAACCTGAAATCTTAATAAACATGCAGTGATCATGAGGGGACTGAGTAAAGCCATAACTGAGCAGTTTTTCTGAAAATTCAATGTTCCATTGCCTCGAAGCCTGTTTTAAACCATATAAACTCCTTTTCAGCAAGCAAACCTCTCCCTTCTTGGCTTTATCATATCCCTTAGGTGGTAACATATACACCTCTTCATCCAAAAAACCATGAAGGAAAGCATTATTGATATCAATATGATGTAGCTCCCACCTTTGTTGTGTTGCTAAAGCTATAAGAAGCCTAACTGAAACCAATTTAGCAACCGGAGAGAAACTGTCAAAGAAATCAATTCCCTCTTTTTGGAGATATCCCTTTGCCACTAATCTTGCTTTGAATTTGTCCACACTCCCATCAGGATTCCTCTTAATTTTATAAACCCATCTTGAGCCAATGGCTTTCTTTCCAGCTGGTAACTGTGTGAGTTCCCAAGTATTATTAATCTCAAGGGCTTCCAACTCTCTGTTCATGGCCTCGATCCACCTATCATCTTGTAAAGCTTGCTCATAATGCACAGGTTCTGATAAGGATCTCTGAACTTCAGTGAAGAATAAAGCTGTCTCCACTCTCTCATCATCTGAGGAAAAATCATCCATCACATAATCTTTCATCCACTCAGGCTTCTTCCTTTCTCTTTTGTTTCTATCTGTCATTTGAGTAGGAATTTGCACCAAACTTTCTGGTATTGAATTTTCATCACAAACTTGTGACCCCCTGTCAATCAACCCTTCTTCCTGGATTTCATTCACCACAGGCAGTGGCACATTGATGCCATCTGAGTCAAATACTTCTGCTCCTCTTGAAAAAGGAAATTGGCCTTCATAAAAGGCCACATCTCTTGAAACAAAAACCTCCCTTGTCTTTAGATCAAATAGTCTGTACCCCTTTACTCCTGAGATATAACCCAAAAACACACAAGCAATGGCTCTCTCATCAAATTTCTTTTTGTGTGGACTGTTTCTTTTGGCATAGCAGAGGCATCCAAAAACTTTAAACATACCATAGGTGGGTAGAACTCCATGAAGCATTTCAAAAGGGCTTTTCCAACCCAACTTCTCACTGGGCAAAGTGTTAATGATCTGTACTGCAGCTAGAAGACTATAAGGCCAAAGATCTCTTTGAAGGTTTGCCTGAAATGATATAGATCTTGCCACTTCCAAAATCACTCTATGCTTCCTCTCCACTACCCCATTTTGCTGTGGAGTATATGGGCAGGACCTCTGATGGATGATTCCTTTTTCTCTAAGCAAGTCAACCACCTCCTTATTTACAAATTCTGTTCCATTGTCTGTCCTTACCTTTTTCACCTTCTCATCAAACTGGACTTCTACCATTTTCAAGAAAAATTTAATGTGACCACATGTTTCAGACTTATACTTCATAAGAAAAATCCAAGTGGCCCTAGTGTAGTCATCCACAATAGTCAACATATAAGCAGTATTTGTCACTGATTTTTCAAGATAGGGTCCCCAGACATCAAGATGTATTAAATCAAATCTTTTCTTGCTTTGTATGTGGCTGAGAGGAAAAGACAACCTGCATTGTTTTGATCTGTGGCATATGTCACATGCATTCAGCTTCTGATTTGAGTAATCACCTTTAAGAAAACTAAGGTGTTTAAGGGCAGCCAAGGAGCTGTGACCTAGCCTTTTGTGCCAAATGTCAATTTCTTTGTCCACATGTTTCATATCTCCCACTGTATTAACATAGATGTCTTCCCCTTCTATGATGTACAGTCCTACCATGATTTTTCCTTCAACAATGACTGAATTGCTCTCATTGTCAAGCAACCTGCACCCTTTGCTTGTAAAACTGAAACTCAAACTATTATCTTCTATCAGCTGACCAACAGACAACAGGTTATATTTAAACTCAGGTATAAGCAGCACATTCTTAAGCAGCACCCTATCATTTAATTGTACCTCTCCAATTTTTGTGACTTCAAATTTTGAGCCATCAGGTAAGTTAACTGTCACAGGAACAGGAATATCTGCACTATAAGTCACCAGGGTAAGATTTGAACAAATGTGTTTGCTGGCTCCAGTATCAACTATCCAGCTCCCTCTATTCAACTTACTGAACAATGAGAAAACATAGCCTTCTATAGTATTTGAAGATTCCACAAGATGAGAGAAGGTGTGAGTTTCAGCATCTTGCTGCATTGAAATATACTTGGCCACTTCCTTTGCTAAAGCTCCAATGTCTGGTAAAGTGTCACTGTGTTGTGACTTTGCCTCTGAGTCTGATTTTGAAAGATCATCACCTTCTACCATATTGACATTCTGCCCTTGCCTTTGCTGCCTGAGTTCTCTATACCAGTCTGGATATCCATTTAGCTTAAAGTATCCTTGGACTTCATGTCCATTAAACCCACAATGAGTACAGAATAGTTTCGCTCTTTCTTCTTTGGATAACCTTGGAGAACCTCTTCCTCTCCCACCATTATTATTGTATGACTGTCCTCCTGTTCCTCTCCCACCATTTCCACGCCCGAAGCCTGTACCTCTCCCAAAATTTCCTCTAGCTAGCATAGCTGTTGTTTCCAAGGGATTTAGTGAGCCTGTAACCATGCTCTTCTGCCTTTCCACTTTCAGTATCATTGAATATGCTTTATTAACGGTTGGAAGAGGATCCATTAGTAGAATTTGGTTTTTCACTGGCTCAAACGCTTCATTCAAACCCATGAGGAATTGTATGAGTTTAATTTCCATGTCATTTTCAGAAATAGCTTTGCTAGACCCACAGACACATTCAGGCAGTGATATGAGACAATTGTATTCATCCCATAAACATTTCAGCTTTGTGTAATATGAAGTAACTGAAAGTGTTCCTTGAGAAAAATTAGATATCTCCTTCTGTAGATGATATTTAAGAGGCCCATTACTATCACCATATCTCTCAGCTAGCTCATCCCACAATTGTTTGGCAGTTTTAACATACATGAAAGCTTCTACAATTTCCTTTGAAATGGAATTTAGCAGCCAAGATATAACCATGGATTCTACCTTCTGATACTGAGTGTAGTCATCTGTGTTTTGTTCTGGAATCTCCACTGTTCCTTCAATGAATCCGAGCTTCGACTTTGCTCCCAGTGCTAACTTCATCGCTCGGCTCCAATGCATGTAATTCGCGCCGGTGAGCTGATTTGTAACCAACACCAGTCCAGGGTTATCAGATCCATGAAGTGCTAAAGGATCGATGTCTCTCGAGTAATTACTGCGCACAATATCTCGAACACGCTCGTCTCTATTTTGTGCCATTAACAACCTGCTCTGATACCATGTAGAAACTGGAAATCAAAATATACGAGCTAAACTAAAACGAAATCAATCTTTTGAAACACCATTTTTTCATTAGCCAACAGCTTACAAAACCAGATCTCACAAAAAAGAAGAAGACGATCGCAGCGAGTACATAATATTCCCTCAGCCCAGACTCACCCTATCAAGATGCAACACGTGGAAAATAAGAAAATAAAGGGAAAACATAAAAACAGATAAGAGGCGTAAACACGAGTCAATTAAGTGACTCACGCCTTTTACAAGTAGTAAACACCCCAATGCATGAACATGTCAACATTGCCTGTTAAATAACAATTGTGTTTGGGCCAATTAAAAGACCAATTTGTTTGGGCCCGGTAAACAATCTTAAAAAAAATTGTTTTCTTGTAAAATTTCGGTTAACCGACCGAACCGACCGACCAATTCGGTTCGGTTAAACTTCGGTTTAGGCACTTAATTCGGTCGGTTTGGTTTCTAAAATTTAATACTTCGGTTAATATTTCAGCGATTCCCGTGTTTGTATTTGGTATTTCAGGCAATTGGAATGGGATTCCAACCTAAAATTCTTCCGAACAGCCCTAATTGTATTACATATTGATTCTATATTTTTAATTTATAAATATTATTTAATGTGTATTTTTAATTTATAAATATCTCCTATTTGGTGTTGTAAATATATAAATCGGCCATTAGATTATCAGCGGGCCAAACCACAAGACCCTTCATCAGAAATTGCCCACTAGCTGGGCACGGCCCAATGGCCTTCGTTCTTCCCTATTTCCTCAATCGTTTTTCTTAAACCAAAAAATGTGGAATCTCAATAATTTTTTCTTCAATCAGAGATTCCATTCCTGCAAGGTAAGCTCTGCTTCCTCCATGCTCAAATTTTACGTGTGTGTATGCGCGTGATATTTTCTTTTTTGTCTGCGTTCTCCTTGATTATTAGTAGTAGTATTTTTTAGTAGTTTTTTTGTGAATTTATATGTAACTGGTGGAAAAAGAATTTCACTTCATAGTTTTATCTAAAACTCAGAAGACTAAAAATCCCATTTTAGTGTATTGACAATTGAATTGAACTGCCGGTCAATATTCAAATTTGTTATGAGCATTTTAGTTTTCCTCTACTTGATTATTGATTATCGATATTATAGCTCGTCCGTCATTGAACACTATCATCTGATCTTGCTGAAAAGTTGCAAAATATTCGATTTTATTCACTGAATATTTTATCATATGCAAGCCGGGTAATTTGGTGGTATAATCTGTGTACAGAAGGAAAACCTCTCTATTTAATCTAATCTGGGGGGATCTTTTTCAACTGCAATGGCTGAAGAGGATGATTTCACATTTTGTCAGGTAAGTTGGCAATACGTTGATGGATATGTTTTACTTGGTAGCTTTTGTAGCTTAACGATGGATCGGTTTAAATGTGAGCTGCTCGAATTATTATTTTCCAATCTTTTACTCTTGCGCAATTGTCTGTGATAAGGTTGGGCCGCCAGTAGATGCTGCTAACGATATTGATAGAATTCAAATAAAAGATGGGGTTACTGAAGCTGCCAGTAAGAGAAATGATACGCGTGAGGATTGTACAGATGATGGAAATGCAAATGCAAATGCAAATGCTGGTAAGGAGAATAATGGTAGCATTTGGAAAGTCAGTTCAACTTCTCGTAAACAGGCAACTGTTGGTTCATTGTCGTTTAATGTGGTTGATGCCTCATCTGGAAAAGGTTTAGTTTCACGGCCCCAAAAAGAGGTTGCAGGAAGTTCGAGCAATGCTTCACCACAGACGAATATTCCTGTAAGGAAAGGTGTTCAGAGAAATAAGGTCCCTTTTGAGAAAGGATACAGTCAGATGGACTGGCTTAAGCTTACCAGAACGCATCCTGACTTGGCAGGTACTTTGCCCTTAATGTGGGTATTTGTCTGGTTTTTGATGTTACATTTTAAATGTGCTGATATGGCTACAACAAACTAATCATACAACGCGCATTAGATAACCTGTTTTTAGTACAACTGGGAATTGGGTTTTGTTTGGAATTCCTAGAAAACACAGCAATGGGGATGTTTTATTATTTTATTTGACACGTTACTAAGTCTTCAATTTTTATTCATTCAAGTTAGAGTATGGCCGGACACTTGCATTAAGAATTTAATTTGCTCTTTCCTTAAGGATGTCCTTGGATCAAATGATTTGAATTGTTTTATTTTTCAAATCCATCTTAACAAACTCTATGTTGTTCAAATCTTTATTGTCTGGTTTTGAGCTGCTTCTTGTGTCATTTGGTTGGATTCTAAATTTGTTTTAGATGGAATTATTTGAAACCTCCAATGTGGCGAAATATTCCATTTTTATCCACACCATTCAATACGAAATGCAACTAGTGTGTAGAGGCTGAACTGTCTGTTGTATTATTAAATTCATAGTAAATTTTCTTCAGGGCTGATTAGCATGAGATTATAAAAGCTTGTGCAACATTTTTTGGTTTATGTACAAGAAAGGAGCACATAGAACTTGCAAAAATATCTTGGTTCATCTCCATGGTGTACCTAATATGGACGTAATGTCACTTCCTGTATTTCCTTAGTCATAAGGATCCTCAACTAAATAAAATACTTCGGTGTAGGAACTGATTTGACCGAAAGTTTCTTCTGTTCTACTGATAATAATATGTGATACAGTTTAATGAAAGTTGGTATTGTAGAATTGGAGATTGAGTATTCTGTATAATTTACAATGTTAATGGAAGTCCTATTGGAGCTTTTTATAGATGGTATTACTTGGAGCTTTTTATAGATTGAATTACTGAATCTGCCTCCACGTTCACATCCTATGTCTTAAATTCTGTTATGCAACTATTTTTTAACAAAAAAACATGAACTATTTTCTTTTTTCCACTTTTTATTCCGTCTTTGACCATCTCTAAAGCGTCACTTTTTTGTTTTAAACAATTGATATTTATGAAGAGATGCTGATACTTATATACTTATTTGCATGATTCTTTTTTTCTTTTACTTTTCCTTGGTATTGGACAACATGGTGATTTTTGCTAGAAATATTTGCTCTTTGAGCCTCATTACTGAACTTCTTTACATTTCTCTAATGTACTCGTCTTTATGTTTGCAATTTATGATAAATGTCATTTAGCCCCAGATGGCAAGTTTCAGTTACTCTTGTTCAATATTAAAGTTCATCCAGGAGAATCATTGTTGCAAGTTAGGAGCTACTCTATTATCCACTCTGTATACTGAACCTGCTTCATTTTCCTATATTTTCTTCTACTCAGGATTGAAGGGGCAGTCTAATAGAAGACTGATATCTTTGAAAGAAGTCAAACAACATCAATCTGAAGGTTCTATGTGGACTGTTCTTAAAGGCCGTGTCTACAATTTATCACCCTATATGAAGTTTCATCCTGGAGGTAGCTAGAAAATTTTGATCAATTTAGTTAATTTTGTCTCAGTGTCTGATCTTTCTTTCATGGGATCTGATTCTTATGACTTCAATCTTGCATTTTCAGAGAATAGGTGATTGTGGCTTCCCTTATATTCAGCTTTATCAGTTTTATAATGTTTCTATAAATATTAGATATTATTGGCATTCTGAGGTGAAATACGACAAGCAGGGGCAAGATGAAGCTGGAATTCTTTGTAACCGGAACACAATTTTCTTTTTTATCTTGTAACATGATCTGTATAAAAGTCATTAAAAGAGTAACTAATTTAAGAGGTAATCAGGAAGGGTAATAATATAGAAACACATTATAATAATAATAAATATTGACTGAATCATATCAAGTAATTCATGAACGATATATATTTGCAAGTGAAGCTGCATATTATTACATGTCAAAAATTGTCCTGGCGTTAACTCACTAAATATTTATACTAATGCATTCATTTGATATTCTTTTCCCTCATAGCTTCTTTGACAGTTTTGGTCATTACACAAATTCTTGTGTGAGGCAGCCGATACTCGTCATACTTTGAGAAAAAAAATGCATACTTATACTATCAAATGTCACATTTTGTCATACTTTTGTTTATGATGTTTTTTAAAGTAAAGTTTTCTAATGAAAGTATGCATACTTGTGAAAAGAGTATGCGGGCCTAATCGTTAGGCCAACCTAACACAAGACCTCTACAGCTGTCATTAACATATGAATTAATGAAATTTCTTATTTTTAAGAAACTTTACCTCTCTTCAAGAAGACTAAATGCTGATTTCTGCTTACAAGTTGTTTTTAGCTGTAACAGTGCATCCTCTAGTGTATGAAGTGGATTTATGACATGTGTTCTCAACATGGATTTGTCGAACAAGTTGTAACTTGAGACATTGATGTGCCATCCCAATTCTTTCAATATGTGAAATTGACCTATGTAGTTGCTACTGAATTTCACGTTTTTACTAAAATGTGTAATCCCTACCTTTATTTTTTTTTTCCTATTTGTGCATCTCATTTGAAGCGTAGAATGCCAAAAAAATTCAAGTTCTTGTCTGTAGTTAGTTTATCTGATGCCTTATAGATATTAATATTTCATTTTGAGCCCCTCAATGATTGAGATTTAATCCTGCTTTTATTATGACATTAGAATGTGCCCACTATTCCAATTCTGAAAGCAGCATCAATTAACATGTCATGATTGTTTTCTTCAGTTTTTTCACATTCCCATCTGATTTTATGTTGCATTTAGAACAAAAGGTTGCTCTTTCTATTTATATGAGATTTTAACCTCTGACAAAAAATTTTATACATTTGCTGCCGGTGGATGCCAACAGGCGTGGACATGCTGATGAAGGCAGTTGGAAAAGATTGCACATCTTTATTCAGTATCCTTCTATTGTATTTTGACGAACTCTGGTTTTTTCACTTCTTCCAAGTAAATTTATGCGATGATAAAATTTGCAATCCTTATGACTGGTCCAGATAAGTATCATGCTTGGGTTAATGCAGAGTTCTTATTGGAGAAATGTCTCGTGGGTATGTTAGACGAGGGAAATTGAAAATGATATGCTTCTATGAGGACCAAAGCTTCCATATTGGGACAAATACATTACAAGTATGCATATTGAAATAAAGAAAGGCGCCATAGTTCTAATGGCCTCAAGCCGAACGAAGCCAGATGCTAGATAGTGCATATGGTAAATGTGAAATTTTATATTCGAGAGATTATTAATTTGTGAACGAAAAAATGTTTCGAAGACTATTCTTTTCGATTGTGACAATAGAATTTAATTTGAGGAAATAACTATTTTTAATCCGAATAATTTTTTCACACTGTTAAATAATAAGTCAAGGGTGATTGGATATAGATGTGTTTGATTTACTTTTAACCACAGTTAATTTTAAAAAATGTGGTATGGTTAGTTGTTGGTGATAATTTAAGTTTAAATTTAAATATTATTTAAAATAAATAATTAAAATTGATTTGATGTAAAAGTAAGAGAAATATAATTGAAAGTGGTAGTTAGTTAAAATCATAGTTGTCAAAATCGGACTGAACCGGCTGATCGGTTCAACCGGAAACCGGACCATTAACCGGTTCGGTTTGAGACATAAAACCGTTTCACCATAAACCGGTTACAAACCGGGTGAATCGGTCAAAAACCAAAAAAACCGGTGAACCGACAACGGCTGGTACGACTCAACGGTCCACTTGAGTGCTTTGATTTGAATTGGTTGGAGAATCAATTATATAGCTGTACTATTTTCTTTGAGCTTTAGATGTGGGATAGGGACAAATAAAGGCTTCATGTAATTGTTGGACTGTTATTATTGGGCTTTACAATGCTGGAACTTAAAGAATGTGACTTCATGAAAGAAAAAATTAATTAGGTTGTTATTCAGGCGATACATTTGATAATAATTTGGATGGTAAGATGTTTGACACTTTAATACTCATTCTCCACTCAATAATGTCATTATTAATAAAAATAAATAAATAAAACTCACCCCAGCGTGAATGAAGTTAATAATTATTATGTGGGGAAAAATAAAATAATAAAGTTAATTATAAATATAAACCTACACTTGGAATTAGACATACTAGCTAAAATAATTAGAATATACACGATTCCATATTATTTTTTTCCTTTATTTATTTTGAATAATATCAATATACACAATAAAATTAATAATAAAAATATATACCATCATATATTATACATAAAAAATAAGTTAAAATAATATATTAATTAAAACCGGTTCGACCGATTCGACCATTGGTCCGACCAGTGAACCATTGAACCAGTAGCTTCACCGGTTCGATGACCGGTCGGTTTTGACAACCTTGGTTAAAATTATGTGAGCGGATGAATAGTGAATTAAAGTTGATGTGATGTGTAAATTGATTAATATTATTTAATTATATTGATAATATTAAGGATAGTAATTTGAGTTAAAGTTGAGTTAAATATGAATTTTGATCGTTTTTTGTATTTTTTGTTAAGTTTATATCCAATCACACCCTAACTTTTTCACCCCGCAAAGTGCGGAACAAATTATGCGATATATTATGCGACAGATAGACGAAGATAATTAATAAAATGCAAAATATTTATGCAAAAAACTATGCGACAGACAGACAAAGATAATTGATGAAGTGCGAAACAAATTATACGACAGACTGACGATAATAATTGATAAAGTGACATTCATCATATTTTCATGCATTATGAGTGATATATTGTGATATTTGGTCATGGTTATCGCGTGATTGTGCACCATTTCGTTTTATTTATTAATCTATGATAGAGGTGTTTTTGTCGTTGTTTTTGCAGGAAATATGCCCGAAAATGCGTTGGAAATGGAATCGGGACGAAAAACGGCAAAAACGGGTGCAGAAGAGGCCACACGACTCGTGTGGGTAGTGACACGGGTCGTGTGGATTGAGGAAATAAGAGGCATGGTTACGGCTTTTTCACACGAGTCGTGTGGGTTGAGACACGGGTCGTGTGACCTCACACGACTCGTGTGACCCGGTCGTGTGAGCCTGGAAGTTCGCCGAAAAGTTGAGAAAAGTCACACGACTCGTGTGGCTTGTGACACGACTCGTGTGACGCGCAGACTAGTTCAGCGGGGAATAGGATTCTTGTGCGATTTCTTTCATTTTTCGACCCAGAATGACCCTACAGTATAAAAGAGGCCTTATGAACTCGTTTTTGCGACTTTTGACACCATTGGAGGCCTAAAGAAAGCACGAAACACACGAGGGATTCGAGGAAGTCAAGATTGAAGATTCGGGAACTAACGGCGACAAAAGTTCTTCTTTCTTTTCTCTTTTTCTTCTTCATTGAACTCATGAATATATTTATTTTGAATTTTGAGAATATGTTTAGTAGCTAAACCTTTTAGGGATTCTAGGATTTGCGAGTACTCGGATTATTTTATGAAGTGATTTTGTTGATTCATTCCGGTTTATCATTCGTTTATCAATTTCTTGTGCTTTTATTAATTGTGTGAATATAATGGCCCGTATTTATCATATTTGTGATTGACTTGAGACCGAGAGGAGATAGTTGATTGCTAGAATTGGGAAATTCATAACGTAAGAGACTAAACAGACCGAGAGGTTGATAGAATCTTGCGAGGGAACTAGAATCTTAGGAACTTATGAGAGTTAGTTGTTTATCTTGAGACCGAGAGGAGATAGATAACAATTAATATCTACGATTTAACTTGTTCGAGAGAAAGGTGTAAATTACTTCAGCGATTATTCTTACGAATGGTAGAATTAAATAAGGTTTGAATGAATAATTAATCTTTGCTAGAATAATACCGAGGAAAGAATAGCCTAGAATCTATTATCTCATTCTTGATTTATCTTAGAACAAGCCTTCATTAGTGATAGAATTTATTTTGCATTCATCCACTAGTTTAGAATAAGATCACCATTTAAATTTGCATTAGACTGAATAATATTTAACCATTTATATTTTGTTACTTAGTTATTTAACAACAATCTATGTGGAATACGACCTTGCTCGCCACTCACTATAGCTATACCGTACACTTGTGGATAGTAAAAATATTTTGCGAACATAAAGTACGAAAAATTTATGTGATAAACTATGGGACAGAAAGGCAAAAAAATTGATAAAGTATGAAAAAACTTATTTGATGAACTATGTGACAGACAAGCGTAAATAACTGATAAAGTGCGAAAGAGCTTATGCGACAACAAAGCGAAATAATTGATAAAGTGTGGAACAAATTATTCGATAGACCATGAGACAGAAAAATGAAGATATTTGATAATGTTCGAAATGAAATATGATAATTAGTATGTAAAAGATCTCGAACCGGCTTGGTTCGACATGGATTGTCTTTCTCGCCAGTTGATGACCTTCAATACATGCACAAATTCAATGCCGAAGGGATTTTCCGGCGTATAGCCTCCAATTTTTAGTTCAGAATACGAATGGAGACGATGAACAGTAGTGTGTGTAAAGCTTGTATGTAGAATGTGTAAGGAATGTAATGTTGGGATCGACATACATCAACCCTATATATAGGGGTGTGTTACTTTGTTGCCCATTACTACCCGTTTGAGCTTTCCAGGCTCCCCGAACTACTTATCTGTACTTCCAAACTGCCAGAATTTTCCAATTCGGTTAGGTTATATGACCCTATCCACATGTGGTTCTTATCTTCTAATAATATTTCTTCTTATCCATTAGTCTGTCTTATTAGACTGTCTAATCGTGCGACCGATCCAAATCACCTCGAAGTGGAATGTTGCCTATGTTAAGCTCGTATGTTCTGTCAGCATTAGCCGAACATGATCAGACATGCGACGCCCGGCGACGCACGCGACACACTTGGTGATCAACATCGGCATTCACTGCTTCGAGGTAAGGGAGCTGGCAACTCGGCGAGGACACACATAGGGGGAACGAGGGCAAGAGGACGCATCTCAGAATTGTTCGTCCAGTCTCGTAGGCTATGTATTCGTCTCAGAGTCAGTAAAATTTTAAAGCATAATTTTCTAATCTTAGCTATTGATTTCGCTGCGCTA